CAGATGACATGTGGTTTGAGTTGACATGCGTCGTGTACCTAGTTCTTATTAATGCTGAGACATATATTTCATTACTTCCTTATACTTATCATAGTACAGTGGGATTTATTATAATTATTATTTGCTATTATTATGAATATCATTATTATGTGGATTTAGTATTGTTACGTATCTGCTCGTTTGTTAATTTCCTTAATTGCCGGTATAAATTTATTCCGAGGAACTTCAGCGATACAAGTCCTTTCTTATTTAAAACTAGTTTATTCTTTCTCCATACAACTTTGCAATAAACAAAATTTCCATAGTCACTTTAAACTTAACAACCTTTATAACACACGCTATAAATCACAGTGATTCACACACTTTACTTACGGTGCCTACTGTTCGCTTGACTCAATTATCTATCTATCTGTACAGTCTATCTGCCTATGTCCCTGGCTATCTTTGCCAGGCTTATATACTAAAAAAGAAGATGTCTAGCAAACACTCGGACATTCGCGGGGTTCCCCGATAATTCGAAAAACTCCAGCGCGCATGCTCCCAGAGTCACGCGACTTCCGCTGTCGTAACAGTATGTTGATTTGCATGGAAAATTTTAGAATGATTATCATACTGGATTCAAGAATTTTTTAATCATTTCATGAGTTTATGTTATTAGGCTGGTTACTTCTATCACGTAGTTTGTTGATTGGACGATTCAAAAGAATCGAAACAAACGAGGATCTAACTTGATTCACTGTAATGAGAACTAATAGTTTACGAACATTACTTCACTATGTCTCATTAGTTCGTCATGAAAACAAACTTAATATATCGAAACTGAACTAACTCAACAACATACTCAGTGAAGTAACAACGCGCTACATTAGACATAATATAACTTACTAACAAATTAAAAAAACAATACTAATCTACTGTAGCATAATTCGCGGTTCAAATCCTTTTCCAAATTCTCAAGAAAATTCTAAAAATATATACTCTGATCATTTCGCTATGACAAACATCTCCTTGGCTAATCAACAATACAAATGTTTTAATTAAAGACATAATTTGTAGGAGTTTGTTTGTTTGTTTTTGAATTTCGTACAAAGCTACACGAGGGCTATCTACGCTAGCCGTCCTTAATTTAGCAGTGTAATACTAGAGGAAAGGCAGCTAGTCATCACCACCCACCGCCAACTCTTGGCTACTCTTTTACCAACGAATAGTGGGATTGACCGTCGCATTATAACGCCCCCACGGCTGAAAAAGCGAGCATGTTTGGTGTGACGGGGATTCGGACCCGCGACATTCAGGATGCGAGTCGACCGCCCTATCCACCTGGCCAACTTACTGAGAGTATTGCCTCGCTGTTCTTGCCACTGATTAGTTGAATAAGTAATGAAACTGCAAACCACATCTGCTATATTGGATTCAAAATCTCTCTAGTTTAGTGATGATGCAGACATTGTGTGAGCCAAAATGGTGTCAGTTTCATAATATCCAAGACTGAAATCGTATTCAACATATGTTGTTGACTGGCTGTTGCTTTTTGAAACTTGTAGATTGTGTGTTTTGTTTTTAATATTTTATGTTTCTTTAACGTTTATTTTTATATATTGTTACGACAGCGGGGGTCACGTGAATTATAGCGTTTGTTATAGCGCGACTGTGGAAATTAAGTGTATTGCAAAGTTGTATTCAGAAAGAATAAACCA